ATTAGAAAGCTTGTCTCCAATCTCGTGCCTGCAGATTCGCTCAATGAAAATGTCTCATTACCTTGTTAAAAAGCACAATCAGAGCATCGCTGGTAATCAAACTAAAATGCTAATCGCTGCCACTCCTCACTAACACTCTTATTCACACTTGAGGCCATTTTCTGTTACTTTTAGCGGATGATAGCTTATTAACTTATCCACTGCACTTATGTGGTACTTGGTTACAAAGCCCTGATAGGTAAAGGGTTTGTCAGTGACGACAAGCAGGCATATTTCACGGTATGAATTGGAGACGTGGGCAGTGATCCTGAGGTCTTGGAGGGGTGGGTCAAGGGTGATGTCTGAACGTAAGAAGCACAGGAGAGTTAGGATTTCACATCTCCTGCTTGAAGTCATTGGTCAAAAGTCCAAAAATCTTATTTCCAACGTAAAATTCTTACTCATACTTTTGTTGCCAAGAATGGATGCTGTAGGAATACTATGGAAATATATGGTCTGTATTTATATGGAGCTTTTGCAGTCTCCTCTCTTCTACACCTTCACTGATTCACACACACATTCATACAGTGCATCTATAATGTGCAGCACTTTCTCTATCATACATCACTCATGCAGAGCCGTCAGGGGCAATTTGAGGTGCAGTATCTTGCCCAAGGACACTTCGGTATGCGGAGTGAGGGAGACTGAGATCGCAACGCTCACCTTCTGGTTAGTGGATGACCATCTCAGCCTCCCGAGCCACGGCCGCTCAATACTTGGGGATTGAGCGTTTTGCAGATACGCTCAATCACAAACACTTTGCACAATACAAATCCTAATATTTTAAAAACACAACGCTGCAGATTAGTTGGATGTAAACGTAATTAGCAGGAGACAAATGCTACACATGTCCGCCTGCATTAGCAATTTATGTCAGGTGGCAGTTATCAGTGGAACCGCAGGAAGAAGAGTGATGTGTTGTGTATAAATATATGTAGGGAAGAAGGGATAAGTGTGGAGAGCAGGTGACATGTGGAGCCTTGAACATGGAGTTGGACGGCAGCAGTGTCTGTATATATGCATATGTGCTCCCAGAGAATTTCCAATAAGAGAGAACTTCCACTCTCACAACTTCTGGGTCGTGTAGGGGGCGCTAGTGAGGAAGTCCAGAACAAAGGAGGCCTTTTGAGCTTCAGTCCCAAAGAGTATGTTTTTGAGGTAAAAGAAAAAAAGGTGTAGCAGTGGAATACCTTTCTGTAAGTACTGCTCCACAAAACAGGTTTTGTCTGAGCATGTAATATATTTATAAACTAATAAATTGTTATAGCTAGGGTACAACCAACACTACCAACCTCCTCCCATTGGCCACCATCGTCAAAACACCGCCCCCTAAGCTCATGAACGCACACCACCTGACTTTTCTGCAACTGGTTCGCTAACTTCTGGGTAACAGTGTACGTCTCTGCAGCTTGTCAAAACTCTGACCATGCACAGGGAGAGCATGGGTGGGGCGTATGCAGGCAGGCGGGTTGGTTAGTGGCACACAGATACAATGAGGTTTACTGTCGCAATCTTTCGTAAATCCTTTACTGACCAATCAGCATGCATTTGCAGAATACAAGCATCATATGGGCAAAAATGTGGGAAAAATGAAAAGAACTAGTATTTTTTATTTCAACTCTGATATAACAAATATTCATTTTGCCAAACTTAAAATAAAATGTGGCTTTTTTCTAGAAGTAGCTGTAAATTGTTTTTAGCCTTTTAGCTCCATTCACTTATTCACAATTAATTCAAGACCAACTCAAGACTGCCCTCTAGGTGAATTGCAGCCGACTTCAGTACAGTTGCATTAATGGTGAGTGGTGAGGCTGTTATGCGCCACGCCTGGAATAGTTAAAGGTTCATATAGTGAACGTGGTCCTAAAATTTTGAGGCATGTCCTGGTCTTCTTGTGTTGACAGCTGTGCAACACTTGATGACATCAGCAGCTGATCAAAATGTATGTCTCTTGAACTCTCATTGTACCCTCGTGTAATTTTGCCTTAAGTGTTTACACGCTGGATTTATGTCTGTACTGAGAGATCTGCTTTTCAACAATGGAGTCGATGCAGATTTGAATAAACAGTCGGGTTGTGAACTTGTTTGAGATTCCAAGTGGAGGTTAACAGAATGTTGAAAAGAAAAAAATCCTTAATGTCAACATTAATATTATTTTGGCAGATAACTCAAGCAGGATTTTGAAAACATATTGTGCTCATACAAGATAGTTGCACATGAGCATATTTGTGGGAGAGAAGGTCGGTCCAGCGTTCAGAGCGTGCAGCATGAGTAAGGCTCCTGGGTGTGTCTGATGCTGTTAGTTATGGAAGATGGTCGAGGGTGTTCCTGCTCCCCCCCCACCCCCCACAACCAAGCTGTGAAATGCCTGGCTTGTCGGAGGAATGACAGACCCTGGAGGGGCCAAGGGTCCCGAACAAATGAGCTCCTATAAAACTCTCCCTCTTACACGGGGACAGGACACAATGCAGACGAGCAGCCGCCAAAAGCAGCCTTCATGGTAATTTCCCTCCACTATTTACAGTGCCCACCCATGGGTTTCACTGCGCTGCGCCGGAGCCAGTCACCTTCATGTGCATGTGCGAGGCATTCATCATATCAGCGGCTGACACCTCCAAACACGTCGCCACACTGGTTCCCGAACAGCCAACACAATCCGCTGATGACAATTACTCCGAGTGAAAATATTTGCAAATTGGGTTAAATGATACTAAAGCTGTGGCGGCTTCATGCATTCAGAGTAAATATGCTGCACCTGGCTGTTTAAAAGCTGCATGGTGGGATATGCAGGGGAATGTTTTGGGCAAAGCTAATGAAGTTAATAGCTTGAGCTGAAGCTCTTTTATGAGCGGCACCTGGTCCATAAATGACTCCTAATGAGGAGCAACTCTGTTGACTTTTAAAATGCCTCCCTCTAGTGGAAGACACACACGCCTCCACGGCGTCAGTGCGGCCTCTTCTGCTCCCGTCTCCAGCAAGAATTATCCAGAAACCTCCCACACATCTGAACGTAGGAGGGAATAAAACTACATGCATTAATTAACACACGTATATCACGGGATATAAAGAAATAGCTATTTAATATCTCCCAAGCTCTCACGGCCTCGTTCTTTGTGTTTGTTTTATCATTTGGCAGAACATTATTACACGTTACATCATTCATCCTGACACGAGCTGCTGAGGTAATCAAAATACGATTCATTTAAATCTCTGTTTCAGTCTGTAAAGGAAATGACTAATGAAGCAAATGTGTATTATGATATCAAGAAAATACAGATAAAATAAGACATATTGGTTTTTAGTTCATTTTCGGCCATAATAATGAAGTCTAAATCCAACATGGAGAATTACTCTGAATGGATACACAAAGCTATTATGAATACAGATGTGGTCTTTAGTTTTTTTTTTATAATATAAGAGAAATCATACAGAGAATTGGAAAAGATAAGAAGAAAGTTTGATTTATGGAAACACGATATGGAAAATATGTAATTGTGGATTTACAGTAAGAGTTGCTGAAGGGAACAAAATGTTGATGTGGCCTGTCGTGCCATTAGAGGGAAAGATATTTGTGTGTGTTTGTTCAAAACACCTCAATCTTACACAAGAAGAACTAAGAGATATCCGTCTTGTGACTGATAAAAGAGAAAGAGACGAGCAGGAGAAACTTTTCATTATTGTATCACTTTAACACAAGTCGAAAAATCAACAGTTCTATATGTAAGACAAATAAAAATCAAAATAGAAAATAAATAGAAATAGAATGTTGCTGCTGCAGAGGTTCTTCTTGTTCCTGTAGATACATGCAGCTGCTGGGGGATTATGATTGATATGAGATAAATAAATTAAAATGCTCGAATCATTGTGAAGGGTAGAGTTTAAAAGTTTAGAAAGAGAAAAATAAAACTCCCACTCTTGTATTTTTCCCTGTTTTTACCCTGACTGTTTAAAAAGTTAAATTGTATTTCATTTTGTCAATAAATCAATAATTAAATTAGGAATAGTCCCTTACATATCCTGTCTGTATCTCAACTTCCACTATCAAATAAAGGGAAATATATTTATACTTTAAGTGTCACAACAATTTTAACAGACATGATTTAATTTATGTTTCCACTGTCGCACGACATCCCCCTCTCTGAGGTGCAGACACTGATATTGTAGAATATATAATTTCTGATCATTTGCTGGAATTCCCTGAAATGTTTAGACAAATAATTGAGGATGAAGAAAATGAAATCAAGTGAACATGTGGATGTTTTGTTGATCACTGAAATTAAAGGTGTGAATGAATTTTTAGCTCCTTAGTGAATTACAGTAAATAATAAAGTTGATGGATTGTTTGCCGTTATCAAGTTGTAGAAATATTACAGGTGCATTACATAAGGACATCTGAAAAATAATTAAAATAGAATTCAAGTTATTATTTCTGACTATTGAGTATCATTGATCAAAATAATAATAGATATAATCCCCAGAATAAAAAGTAATAATGACGCTTGGTGTTTGAATCATTTCAAAACCTTATTAAGTCAGTATCTTTATATCAAGGTAAATGTTTTATAGGTATATTTATTTTGAGATATCGGTCCAACAAAAGTATTATCTTATCTGAAACATTCGAATGTATAACAGTTTACAAAGTTAATTTTCAATTAGTAAATTATTTAACTATTTAGCTGTACGGCTGAATGACATGATTAGACTAATATAAATATATAATGATATGACTAATAATAATAATAATAAATCATATATTTTGACAAATCTGGTGGCACATTTACCCCCCCATACACACACATACACCCACAGTGTGTGTGGGCATAAAGTACCTATGTTGAGAGTGCAATTTATTATTTATCATTTGTTATAGAATTTTTTATCTTTGATCCAACATGACAGGCTACTCAACATTCATGGGGAACAACATTGTTTACTGCAATAAAAAAAAGCACATGCAATTTTGGACTTCACATCAGAAGGGATTTTTTTATTTCCTCTGTTTGAATGAAGAGTTACAACAATTCATGTTCAGTCAAACATTTGTTTCATACTGTGTCATGTACCGGTTGTTGCTGACCTTTGTCTTGTCGTATGAGTCTATACTAGACTTCTCTTGGTTGTAGCTGAAGCAAACACGTGAACATAACACTGTAATACAGCACAGCATCCTTTAACTGTGTAATTGTTGTTGTATGGTACACAGGGTGAATGACTGACTGAATAATCCTCGAGTAGAATCTGAGGAGAGAAAGGAATCTATGGATTTCATGCAAAATCTGTAAAGGTAGAATTCACACAAATGGATGTAATGTACAGTGGATGTGCATGGTTGTATATGCAGGTATGGTGGGAGACGTATCATGTCTACAGGAGGAGAACTGTGCTGAGCACCCTGTAAGCCATGGAGAAGGTGACCAACAGGCCCAGCATAAAGCCCAGTCCCCTGCTGGGCTGAGGCAGAGCGCAGACGTAGGCGACGGTGTGGAAGATCCGCGCGCCGGCGAAGATGCGGAAGTGAAGCAGAGCAGCTGAGAGCTCAGGTGCAGTCAGGGCGTAGAGGAGGCCGATCACCACGAAGGGAACGATGTTCTCCAGGTCGTTCTGGTGAGACCTGGACACCAACAACACACATATGGAGCTGAGTGTTAGAACATGATGTGTCTCTGACCCAACGTGTAACATGGCTGACTTCCCCTTTAACGCTGCCTTCAAGTTCAAATCCATTCGACACAAGATGTTGGCTGCACCAGGCGTTTTTAAAATGATGGGTGATTTTGTGTTTTCCATTTGTCGACAAAATGCTGAGAAGTAAACACAATAATAACAAGTAGCTTTCATGAGCTCAGTCATTACCAATGACACGTCCGATAAATCCAGACAGATTCTCTCAGATCAAGTTCCTAACTTTTATTCAACATTTAAAAATATGGAACATCAGTGGCAGTGCACGAGTCTTTTTCCAGGATCACCAACCCTAGCTTTAGTTAATTCAGTGTTTTATCTATTCACCGATAAACTGACGTGAGGCTGATCAAATTCCAATGATCAGAAGAGAGGAGAAAACATTTATGACATTTTTGGCACAAATGTTAAATTAAAAAGGTAGCAGCACACAGACAGAATTTGTGTTTGTTAATATGTCTCTCCTCCTCATCGCGGAGGAGTTTTTTTTCACCTGCGGACCCGTTCCACGTCAGGATCTGTGCGGACCAGCTTCTTGTCTGTTGATGAAGAACCCAATTTTGTGTCCTCCAGGTTTGCGAACACCTGAGGGGAATAGAATACTAGTGTGAGTTCTTGTATGAAGCTACACTCTGTTCTGTGGCCGGAAAGAAAACGCACCTTTCTTGTCAGACGGAAGTAAGAGGTCAGAGGTGACATGAGCATCATCTTCAGGATGACGATAGTGGCATATGTGAAATATGATCGGAGGACCGGGCTGTCCATCACACTGCTAAGCGACATTGTCCCTGTGAAATCAGTGGAGAACAACAAAAATACATATTTATGACTTCGGAGAATATATGTTGAGATATTGAGAATAAATTTGCAGGAAAAAATTTTAGATTTCTGAGAATAAAGTCACATTTTTAGACTACTTGTCATTTTAGAAGGGGAATAACAGAAGATCAGTTTGTTGCCTACATTAGAATGAGGAATGTGGAGCATCTTGCAAAGTAATACTTTCGTAGAAGTTTCACAAATAACAAATCACATCCGCTCCTTTATCAGGACTTAATGCTTATCAGTTTACAACATGCTGTAAATATTTCAGTTACGGAGCTGATAGCGATGAAAACTGACCTTTGACCAGTTGATCATCATTAACCCACAGCACATTGCACATGTTCATGATTTCTCAATACACATAATGAGTGTGTAGATTTACTCTCTTCGCTTGTTTTACACAAGCTGAAAAAGGTCACTGAAGATCACTGAAATCTAACAAATGGGTTGACACGGACCTGTTGTCACAAAAGATGGAAGATCACCTGTTTCTTCTCTTTCCTCTTGTCTGTTACTGTAAGATGCAAAGCTCCATTTCATAGAGTCCTGGCACTTATTCGTATGTAGCCATACCTTTACTTTAATAGAGTATTCACACCTGCAACCTCACATTGCAGACAAGCTGCCTGTGTGAACAACAGACGACCACGATACGCAACAGAGCGGCAGCGCAGCCGTCATGTGCCGCTCATGCAGGCGGCGTGGCCCAGGTGTTACAGAGCTTTTTCATGTAGGTAAATAGACTGCAAAGGTAAAACGTACTGAAGGAGCTCCTCTCCCCTAAAGGAAACTCTGCTCCTGAAGCTCCTGAAACACCTCGTCAGTAGTGAGAGCAATATTTCTGTGGAGTATATAACCCATATTTGCTGATTCACGCCCTCCCTTAGCAAAGCCAGAGCAGAGGGCAGGATTTCCTACACATAAAGGAAGTGGTTGACCAATCACAACAGACTGGGCCTATCAGGAAGTGAGGTGAAACCAGTTTTTTCAGACAGAGGCTGAAAAGAGGAGCTGCAGCAATGGAACGATTGAGAAAAGTGATTCTGAGCATCAGAGCGTTTGAGCTTTTTTCAATAACTTACTAATTAAAATCACTAGTGCTGTGCTGGTTCTAAGCCTGTGTGTGTTCAGTGAAGCTCGTCTCAGAACACAGAACCACGAGCTGGAGAATCAGTGTCTTCTTTGTTGTCTTGATCGATGAGTTCTTAGCGATCTAGCCTGTTTATTCACGATTTAATAAACATGGAATATATCATGTGTCCATATCACACTCAAATTACACACTGCACTTCCTTGGGGCTTTAACCATACACATGACAAGTGTGTAACCGTTCAGATGAGCTACATACAGACAAAGACAGATATCTGGAATATTTAGATAAATGAACTAGAACATGAGCATAATATATGTCTCCTTTAAGTACAGTTTAAATTGTGCCTGCATCTTGCATGTCCTGTTTTATTCAAGGAGAACAAAAACCAGCTCAACAATTTAGATAAAGCTTTCCCTCTGTGCAGGGGCGGATTTAATGGGGGGGGGGGACAATGGGGCGGGACATCCAGAGGGTTGTCCCCCTCAATATCATTGGAAACATAAGCAATGATAATGTTAAATAAGTGATACAACATGTACTGAACACATGTTCGCTAATTATAACGCAGAATAAAGCATTCTTAAACTTTGACAGATTGCTTCCCCCCCTCTCCTTGCCTAACAGTGGTTTGCGCTCCCCTATCTCTCTCTCTCACACACACACAAACACACACTCTCTCTCTCAGAGCTACGCAAAGAGTTTTCTGACTTCCTGAATGTTGCAGCTCTGCAACAGTTCACCAAAAACAACAGATGTGTCAGACACGTTGCCTTGATTCAATCCCTCAATAGAATAAAACACATTTACCATTTAATCAGACTGGAGGTTTGTTTCTTTAGCGTCTCAGTCGATTCTTTAATCTTACTCAACCACTTTGGTATGTGACAAACAGCAAAATTGTTTCATGCATGTAAAGAATAATTATTTCACACAATGTATATTATAAAACCCGAAGAAATGAGAACAAAGTGAGTTGTGCAGCTGGGGGCTGGGGTCTTACCTAGTTCTTGTAAAGTCACAGTGAACAGCAGAGACAGTTCCAAAGATCAGTTAGACACAAATGGCTGGAATTTATTCTGAGGTTGTGTAATCTGTGGGAGGAGCCCTGACCTGGAATAACACTTCTTTGTTTTACTATTACTGCGAATGATGGTTGGAACACCGGTTGGAACACTGGGCCTCAGGTGTATTATATACTGGTCCTTGCACTTTCCACCCATTTCAAGTGGATATGCTCACAGAAGTGGATAACACCGAGAACTTAATTCCATGGCACAAAGTTGATAGTAAAGTTTATTAAAAATACATTTTCCATTCACAGTTTTGGCAAGTCAAGCGGAATGCAATGAATAAACGGTAAGAATCAATAATAATTAAGCTCGTAGAAATATGTAAAAAGGAAATACGTGAAAGAAAATAGATTCAGGTTTAATCTGTAGCGGGGGTGAAGATCTGTTGGTCCAGTGTCACGTCTACAGGAGGAGAACTGTGCTGAGCACCCTGTAAGCCATGGAGAAGGTGACCAGCATGCCCAGTATCCAGGACAGACCCCTGCTGGGCTGAGGCAGAGCGCCGACGTAGGCGACGGTGTGGAAGATCCGCGCGCCGGCGAAGATGCGGAAGTGAAGCAGGGCAGCTGAGAGCTCAGGTGCAGTCAGGGAGTAGAGGAGGCCGATCACCACGAAGGGAACGATGTTCTCCAGGTCGTTCTGGTGAGACCTGGACACCAACAACAGGTGTTAAGCGTTCATATATGTACACATGCCAGGGGTGAATCTAGGGAAGGGGCTGGGAGGTGGGGCACTGGCCCCAGTTGAATTCTGAGTGGCCCTTAAACTTTACTGAATAAGTTATTGTGTATGGATGTTAGACATTTATTTACACGAAAATGATTTTGAATATATCACACTGTTTAATGTTTTTTATTTGTTATATGTAGGGTAATGTCAGTTTGAGTGTAGTGTCATCATCTCGCCTTCGAACACGCTCCACTTCTGGATGGGTTCTCAGCAGCTTCTTCTTATCCTCTGCAGACTTTCTGCTCACGTCTTCTTCATTAGAGAAAGCCTGCATGGCAGAGATAATACTCAATGTGATTGTTATTGCCAAAACAGAAGTTTTTTTTTTTTTCTCCTGGTCATTCTCTTTTACAACATGGGTTGTGCCTAAGTTATAGTGTGTACGTGACTTTTCTTTTTGCGGAGCTGCAGAGTGTCGGACTTGTTGGATTTGTAGGAGGGTGGAGTTCTATATGTCTTGCGTCATCTTTCCTCTTGTTTACCAGGAAGAAAGCCAACACGGGTCTTTTAGATTTTTAGAAGTTAAACGGTTTAAGGAGGCTAATCCAGGTTTAAACATATCCAGAGGCTGACCCTTTGTAAAAAGTCATGAAAATTCAAACCAGAAAAAGGCACTACTCTCGTTACGTACCCCTCTGGTCATGCGGTAGTATCCAGTCAAGGGCCCCATCAGCATCATCTTCAGAATGATGATGGCAGCATAGGTGGTGAAAGCCTTAAATACCTCATTTTCCATTAGATCAGCCATGTCTGCTGATTTATAGCTGGACAATAAAAGAAAGAGGCAGGAGTTGGTTTACCTGTTTCATACAATTTATATTTCTACAGATGTTTATAACCTAAATAAAACAAGTGTGCAGCGTATGGGAATGCAAAAGTAGCTGCTGGTAAAAGAAGGCATCCAAAAGAAAGAGCTCCACAAAGGTTTACACAATAAACTCTTCATATGCTATTATTCAATGTGTGCATGCAGCACTCAGGAAACCAAAGACACATAAAGGATCTATTGTCAAAAACACGAAACGGCATTTATCGTTTAAGAGCTCAACTTACGTTCTGTGTTGACTCTGCAGGAGAGGAGCGAGTCTGAGGATGTTTTGTTCAAACAAACTGACCTGTGGCCCAGAAACTCAGGGGGCGGGACCAGAAAAATGACACCATAACACTCCCACACATGGAAGGACCATGTGCTATTACAGCAAAAAGGAAAAAATACATAAGCTCAGCATTTTTTAAGGTTTTTGAACAACTTACAGATACAATTATTCACTATGCAGAAGAAGAAATAAGAAAAAAAAATGTGAGGATTGTTGTGAAAAATTAAACATTTGATTTTTAGCCCAGCTTCACTCTTTTTACTCTCCTCTGTTGTGAATCGTCTCCTGGTTTTGTTTTTGCCTTGTGAAAATGTGGTGACAAAGCAGTGGTTTGATTAAGCTAATATGATATGTTCATTTATAATAACTGAAATATTATACAGTGTGTGCATCATTTTTCTTATATCAGACATCAGAGGCTTCAGTTTTTATTTATTATTGCATATTTCTGAATCTGTCCACATAGAATAAGAGTAAATGCATCAAAATTGCCAGGTATTGTGTCAAAGAATCATTGTTTGAGTGAGAGTGAAGCTTTAATAGTTGTGATGTGTTTATATATTGGGATAAAATCTCCCTCCATTTGTTAGAAGCTCTGTTTTAAAACCACAGTGGACAAATGAAATGTCTGGAGCAGAAAAACGATTCCTCTCATCAATAATCTCCTGACATTTATTATTTCTCACTTTACTGTAGACTAAACTCTTGATCGATGCCCGGGTGGTTTTCCACTGATCTGATCCATGACAGAATTTGATCTCGTATCTCGAATGTAATCTGCTCTGGAGCAGGTTAGTAGGTCAGCATGAGTTACCATGGGGATGCATCCCAGTTTAAAGTGAACTAGCTTTAAAGGACTTAAAACTGAGAATTAAACATAGTTAGCGTGATTTTTTTTTAAATACTCCTTCTTGATACAGGCCCAGTGTTTTCCTGTATTTTGTTTGTTCGTTTTTCTTCGGTTATTTCCCATGTATTACTAGCCTGTCCAAAAATTTAATAATTTAAAACCACAAATTGAAATTATAGTTTAGACAGAATTCACAATATAGAATATGATGATTATAATTATTGATCAAATCAATTTAATAAATCACATCATTGTATACACATTCATATAAATGTGGAGCATACAGCTGTAGGTGTGTAAATGTAGTGTAAATGTTTCCAACACTGATATTTTAGACCCCAGCAGTGCGTCAGTCAGTTGAAGACCTATTAGGCTTTTTGGCAGTAACATTTAATTTCTCTGCAATAACCATTTTACTAGTTGAAATTATTATTTTTTTTAGCTGCCAATGATCAATACATTATAATCGCAATATCATGAAATGGAAAAGCTAAGCGCCTCGAAATGGATCTTACATATCAGCAGCCGGGGCATCATCTTTGTGTAGCAGAATCCTAAAGTAAAATAATGTTGTGTGATTTCCCACAAGGAGTAGTAATGGCAAAAAGCTGCATTGATTTCTCACCAGCCCTGCCAGTAATTGGGATGCTGGCTGCGATATGCTGCCATTGATTTCTTATGGTAGCCAGGTTGTGCTGCTGGTGTAGGACAACAATGACTAAATAACAGCCCGGCCAATGATCTTAATGCCAGAAGCCAAGCACAGCTATTGATTTCATTACAGAATGCCTCCGAGGTTCGAGACACATACATTTTTTTATTGATCAAAGGTGGTGTCCACATTACTTGCAGCACTGTCACATGCATCCAATCAATGACAGCAGAATGCTGACCACAAGGAATTGCATAGGCACAGTGGGGTGCAATAAATTTAGCGGCATATAATCAGGGTTTGGAAGGTGACCCCCCGACTCCGAGGATTGATAAGTGTGAGCGTTTCTGCTGCAACCTGTGGGATAAACTGTTGATACTGTGTGATTAACTTGTGTAATAGGGTTTCATTTGACCCTATTCACGTCTCTGTGGCCCAAGGGCAGCGAGAAAATAAGAAATCAGACCAGCACCCAGGCAGGAGAAGCTGCTCAGATAAGGCTGTATTGATGATGGGTTTCCAGCAATTTGTTCAGCCCAGACCCTCAAAATAGAGGAATCATATCAACTGGATGGACGAACAGCAATGTAATGGTTAAAGCCATAATACGAGTAATTGGTTGATTCTTGCTGAACTGGAACATGATGATACAGTTAGAAGCAGCCAATTTTCATGGGCTCTAAAGGGGGCGATGGCTGGGATTTTCTGAGCTTGCACAGGAGTGGTTCGTGATTTCATGATGAACACAAACATATCTAAGTAAAATGATTCTTTTATAACATATGACTACCTCATTGGTGCATACATCCCCCTAAACAGCTATAATACCTGACTTCTTACCTGATTTTGAAGTAAGGAGGCTTTTTTTAATGACCAACAGGGTTTTTTCTTTTTTCATTGCAGCGCTGGAATCTAAATAAGACTGGAAATAGCTTTTTAATAGCCTGTTCCTACCCCCCAGAGAGTCAGACCAGCCTCATGGGATATGGAAGTATGTGCGTGAAAAGGTAATTTACTTAATGATCAGTTTGATTGTTTGATGAATTAAAAAAAGCTTAAAATGGCTTCGGTAACAAGTTTGTTGCATGGGAGAAATCTAACCAGTGAGTTTTCAGTCTCACTAACAGTTCAACACAGTTAATAATTAATCTTATCAAGCGCTGGTTTATTATTATCTTGCATGATATTGATTATGCATGCCGGAACTGTTGGTCTTTGAACAGCTGGTGTCTAATATTTGAAACTACTGGTTGAGACGAGCGTGAGCGATTCTAGCGAGGAGTATTCGATGAACCCACTCCGTTGCGTCCAACGTGCACAGACTGCGTCCTGACATACCGCATGTCATTCAGTGACTTAGTGTATTTGTAGTGGTTTTCCCTGAGGGTGGGGTAGCCTGCCCCGGTGCTCCAGGTGCTGAGCCTGGATGTCTGCAGACGTTTCCCCTCCAAATGGCTCTTAATGAAGAAGCTCATTAAGGATCAGCGGTAGCGCTGCACTCGTAATGATGGCCACGCAGCTGCTCATTAGGCTCAGGCCGTTAGGCTTTGTCTTCTCACCAACCACTGAGAGCAGCTCTGCACCTTTTACATCCACCTTTTTAACAAGTTACACTCTAGAGCCGGATGATCAAGCAGGTTAGTACATATGCCAGCATTTAGAATCCTTGTCACTGGCTGCTAACGGATCAAACATGTTTAAAAATAGATAAAGGTCAAGCTCTACAGATATACAGATATCAATTCATGATACAGAAGTGTTGGATTGGAAAAACAAACCCATCCACCACATTTATGTACAGTATATATGCTACTTATTTGTTAACAAGGGGTTTCTTTTCATTTTCATTTCAAATGCCCTCACTTTTGGTTTGACCTCCTAATTTCCAACCTCCCAAGTTTCAATCCTTTGGTCTGTGGTGGTAGTCAGTGGTCCAGACATTCCTCTTCCCAGCAACGCTTTCCATCTCTCCTGGGGAAACCCAGGACAATGTCCACTCTGAACTCTTCTACTTGACACAACAACTGGCTCCGAACCTGAAGCAAGCACCCGTCTATGAAAATCACTAACATAACCAGTGACAACACCAACTGGAAGTGTTTCTGACTTTCTTCCAAGAATATGAACATAACACTTATTCACAGGCATCATATTCATCAAATGTGCCTTTCTTCACCACAGATGCAGTTTGCCTTGGTTCATAGTGCATGCACTTTTGAGTTTAAAGTCTGGTTTTGGGTTTTAAGTCAAATGTTTGTTTATTCTCACAATATTCCATCATTCTTTGGGCCCATTATTTGGGGTATGAAAATACATCTGCTGCTATCCTGATTATTCATTTTCCTGAAAACAAAACCTCAAAGTTCAAACCGTGCCAATGTGGTCAACCTCAATTTCCAACTCTATTTACTGACGTTTTTCCCATAGACCTAATGTCTCTGAAGTCACTGACACAGCAATGACCCCTCTTTAGAAGTTACTTTGATATCTTCCTCTTGTAACGCTGATACAAAATCAGATTGAACTGAGCTCAGCATTTTGTCTGGAAGCATGATGGGATGTTAGCTGCTTAATAATACCATACACTGCACATGTGTGGACACATTTGTTCAGGTTATGTAGGGGATAGAGTCCTGTTCTCACCAGCGTTGCCTTTAAAAGGAGGCTGATGGGCAGGGATGAGTTGAGAATCTGAATCATCCCTGCTTCAGGTTCTAAGTGATTCTGGATGTGTCCTCAAGCCCTCCTTATCTCTGGTTCACTTTGGGCCCTCAGTGAATAATAAGATCTTACTTAGCATTAATAGCTCTGCTGCATGCTGGGAGAATGTGTCTGCTTTGTGAGCGAGCAGGACAGGCCTCTGGATGAATTCCCCAAGTGATCTTGTTTCAGAGCTGATTAGCACACTGTCACTGTGGTCAGCGTGCTCTGCGGCAGGCTGATGCTAATGGGTGTCAGACAGCATTCACACTGAGTGATCCTTTCATCTAAAGACTTCCTTTTTTTATAGCACCATATAGCGATGACCTTAATATTCACAGCCTTTACAAATACCTCAGAGCTGCTACACTGCTGCGTTTTGTGAATTGGATATAACGCTCCAACATCTTTGAGCAACTCTCACACGTATTATATTTTTCTATTTGATTTGTCTTGATGTTATTGGACCGGTTTTACGTGAAATACCTTCCTACTTCCCCTTTACCTGCCCTGTAGTGCTCTGTGGTTCCAAAGAATGCAGCTCACCTGGCTCACTCTTACTTAACAAAGAGACAGGGGTGGCTGCACTCACGATCCACAGTTGCTTCATGTTTCATTTGAGAATAGATTCGATTTATATGATGTTTGGTTTAGTTCGTTTATATCTGTGTCATTCAAAAACTATTTTACTAAACCGAAAATATCCTTTCATACAAACAACACTACATAAAAAAGCCCTTTTCTTGATTTCCTTTCTTTTCACGCATCACATAACAAATCACTTATACTTTAGCCACCATAACATAAATATTATTTAATAACTGTATTGATTATTTCACTTATGTCTA